TACAGATGATCATTTCATTATTTTTACTAAGCCACAGGCATATAACGTAAATGCAGATGCTTGTTGTGAATGCTGATACCACTGACCCATATCCTAAGTGTGCACAGCAGACAGGGTACAGTCCTGTCCTGACGCTCTTTGGCTAGCTTTTATCATTAGCCTCCACATTTAGCACTTAACGACGGAGTCACAAGTAAACAAGACTTACCTTTGGATCAACAACCCATGTATGATTGTTCTTTATATACTACGAGAGAAAATAAGCAAAGAGTTTAATTTCTATGAAGTTGACAGACCACAAAATACTGAAGGTCCCTTCGCCATGCTGTCTTCTTCACTACTCCCCCGGAGGCTCGTCGCCTCGATGTTACATCCCCCCCTGCAGGCCGGGAGGAGCACCGACGGTTCAGTGGCTGGGATCTTTATACAGTCTATGGTTGGGATCCAGTAGAATATCATTTGTATCCCTCTAGTTCAGGTGTCTCCAACCTTTCTTCATCTGAGAGCCACTTTGAAAAAATGAAAGTGGCCAAGAGCTACTTGCATCACATCGCATACATTTATTCACATAGCACTCATCAGTTGAATTAAGCTACTTTTGTACACGTGTGAAATTGCAATACCCAAAGCTTATCAAACATCTTTACTTCACATCAAGGTCCAAGAAAACGACAATTTCTCATATATTATTGTGGCCCACATAGTAAGTAAAAATTTGAAATTCACATATATGTTTAACTTCTTATTAAGGCCCACATAATCTTAATCACCACCTTACAAGCATCTTATGGCACATGTGTAAAATAAGTGGCATTCACTCTTTTTTACAGGTAGTGAGATGACTGGCACTGCATGGATTCCACTAGATGTATGCTGGAGTGTACCCACTTAGGTTCACTCTAATAGAGTCATTTAAATGTTCATCAGTCAGTCTTGTTCTGTATTTAGATTTCATGACATTCATGTCAGAAAAAGCTGCTTCACAAAGGTATGTAGAGCCAAATAAAGCAGAAATTGTC